ATTCAGCTCAGTGGAACAGCACGTGCACGCAGCCCTGGCTTAAATCCCCAGCACAACACCGCCCCCCCCAGAATGGAATACGTAAATTTAATCTTAGTTGTGTTCAAGACTTTAGTGGAGCCTTAGCGCTGTGTCTATGCTAGGCTGCATGGTGCCTTCTAGTCCCTTTGCGATGTTCTGATGACATCTAATAGAAATGCTCTAGGGCTGGGAATTTAGCTCAGTGGCGCTGCACCTGCCTGGCAAGTGCAAGGTCCTGAGTTCGATCCCTGGTACCAAAAAGAAAAGAAAGAAAGAAAGAAAGAAAGAAAGAGAGAAAGAGAGAAAGAGAGAAAGAGAGAAAGAGAGAAAGAGAGAAAGAGAGAAAGAGAGAAAGAAAGAGAGAGAGAGAGAGAAAGAAAGAAAGAAAGAAAGAAAGAAAGAAAGAGAAAGAAAGAAAGAAAGAAAAAGAAAGAAAGAAAGAAAGAAAGAGAAAGAAAGAAAGAAAGAAAGAGAAAGAGAAAGAAAGAAAGAAAGAAAGAAAGAAAGAAAGAAAGAAAGAAAGAAAGAAAGAAAGAAAGAAAGAAAGGCTCCACAGAGATGCTCTGTAATGCAGTCAGGCAGGCAGAGTGCACTTACCCAGGATGCCCTCCCTCTTCCCTTATTACCCAGGGAGTGCCAGTGTGGTACCCAGCTTGTTGCAGTAAATCTGCCCACCCAGCAGCCTGACCAGTGACGCATGCTGGACCCTGGAGGTTTTGTGCACCAGGCCCCTGAGCACTGAGAAGCTATGGGTGCGTGGTGGGCAGAAGACCTGATGTGTGGAGAACAGGTGCAGAGCCTTGGAAGAATTCAGGCTTCAGTACAAGCTGTGCCGTGGGTGTGAGGGGATTCTGAGAGGAGGGCTAGCTAGGGCTGACCGAGCAGGGTGGGGTGAGGGGACATGCGCAGCCCTTCTCTGGAAGGACTGCTGAGCAGAGCAGCAGGCTGAGGGAAGACGCTGGTGGACAGAAGGGCCTTAAAAATCAGAACCCACGATCCTATTTCTTGAATTTTTGTTTTTTGAGACAGGGTCTCTCTGTGTAGTTCAGACTGGCCTTGAACTTACTCTGTGGCCCAAGCTGGCCTCAAACTTGCAGTAGTTCTCCTGCCTCAGCCTCCCGAGTGCTGGAATTACAGGTGTGTGCCAACATACCTAGCTTACTTCTTGAATTTTTGAAACCAGACTGTTAGAACTACAAAAGATAATAAGATCAGTTTAAAACCCCCTTTTAATCCCAGATGGGTAAACAGGCTCGAAGAGGCAAAATAGTCTCATTTCACATCACATGGCAAATTACCAAAGAAACCAGTGGGAACAGACTTTGGGGGGCCACATCTCAGTGGAGGTATTTGTTCCCACAAATCCAGGCCTTTTCCCTACAGGAATAAGATCCTGAACCCTGCTATGGGATTAATACAACTCACCAGACTTTAGGAAACCAGCGTCTCGTAAAGGAACCTTTGGACTAAGCACATAGCGCAATTCTTGCCTAGCACAGAGGCCCTAGGTTGGATGGATCCCAGTACCCACCCTGCACACACAGACACACACACGCACACACACAGACTTGCCCAAGGCAGGACTACAGAATGCCTGGTTCCCTTGGCCAGCAGAGGAAGTGGTCGGGAGCAAGCTGGGGGGATTCTCACTGCCGGCCTGTACATGCTGACCAAAACCTGGAAATGGGGTGCAGAGACTCAGAAACCAGCTCTTTCCTGGAAATCCTCTCTCTGAAGGAAGAGGCCTCTTAGATTCCCTGCTTCAAGCCCCCTAACTAGACCTGCAGAAAAGCTGCTCCTAGCAACCCTCTTACAAGACCTCCCTGCTGTCTGCTAAGCGACAACAGGTTGCAGCTCAGAAGCGAGTGCCCGCAGTGAAGTGAGGGCAGGTACAAAAATAAACAGAGGGCTTGCTCTGAAGTAGTTCAGACGTGAATAGAGTTTACAAATACAGAAACACATGGGGAGATGTTTGTGTCAGTTCCCACACCGACAGCTTTGCTCTAGTCAAAATTCTTGGTAGCTGAGTGGGTGTACGTGTGGGGAGCGAAGGAGACAGAAATTAGATGGGGGTTAATGTCATGTTTTTCTGTTTTCTGTTTCAGCTCACAGAGAAAGAGAGAGATGTGCTACAGATCTAAAGAAAAGCAGTTAAATTATAATCACAATATGTACAAGGAGAAGGGCTTGAAAGCAATATACAGAAATGAAATGTGTCAGTCAAGGTAAGATTATGGATAATTTCCTCCCAAGGCCTTAATCCTGTTCAACATTTTCAATTAAATGTTTCAACTTTTCAAATTTTTATTTCCGGGTGGTCTAGTTAACCTGGGTTTGTTTTTGTTTTTTTAAACAGGGTCTCACTATGTAGTGCAGACTGGCCTGGAACTCACTAAGTACCCCAGGCTGGCAGTCCTCTTGCCTCAGCCTCCTGAGTGCTGGGATTATAGGAGAGTGCCACTACACCTGACTAGTTAACCTGATTTTACAAAATTACAATTCCCCCGAATTCTTGCTGATTGTCCGTCAAGCAGTTTTCAGGATAGCAAACACTGAAAAATATCTAAGCATTTTAGATGATGGATTAGACAGACTGTGCTCTAGTCACAGCAGTGAGACACAGTAGAGCTATTTAAAAAGGAAGGCAGGGAGCTGCACGTGTGGATGTAAGCGGGAGTAAGTGAACAAGACAAGCTAGTTAGTACGTCTATACACGCAAATATGGAGCTGTGCATGGGAATTTTCTGGAAGGGCTCCCAAGCACGTTCTATCTACTGAAGAGAACTGAGGATCCGAGACGAGTGGCATATTCACTTTTCACAGGACACGAACTCCTAGGGTGTTTAAAAAAATGTACATACAAAATTTTAAATATGGTACACTGGTGTCGCTTTCATAACTGTTAACTTTCTAGGCAGCGTTCTAAAGGTCTTCTTCCTAAGTGCTTTGGAGATGGAGGAACTCAAAGTCCTATTCTTGCCATACATAGAAAACAGACAATCTGATTATGCCTCGAGTTGTCAAAATGTGGAGGCAATGTGTGAAAAAACTAAATATGCTCATCTCTCAGACAGAGATCTGCTGTGATGTATATACTTTGGTGCAGCTGGAGAACTGGGTCAGCCTCCCCCAGGCCTCCCAAATAAAGCAGCAAGGAAATGAGCTGCTCACTCTGCTCTCCATGGAGGACCCAGGGGCGCTGTGAACTTTAAAAGATGTGCAACATTCCGGGCCCGCAGAACCATCGGAGAGCCCTGGGAATCACATTCCCTCCCCGGCTGGCAGCACAGGGCTTTCGTTTGTTTTGAGATGCAGCTTGCTGTGTTGCCCACACTGGCTTCAAACTCTTGGGCTCCAGCGACCTTTTCCTGGGCCCCTCTGGCTGGTGACAACCATGTAGCTTGCACTTGAACATTCTTGTGTTTTACAGGACACAGTACCTTAGTTTTCCAACTGCTCCTTGATCCATATATTTCAGGTGCTAATGAGAGGAGGTTGTACTACAAATTCACAGGGAAGGGTGGGAAACTCTGTCTGCCATTCCCTTGGGCCTCTGAACCTGAAGGACATCCAGAGAGTCACTTAGACCAAAAGAAGAACCAAGGTGGCTGGCAAGGCGCAGCCTCTCGTACGGGATGTGAAGCTGGCAGGAGCAGTCACAGCATTGAGTACAAAAAAATGGCAGGAGACACCCAGGGTGCGGGCGCCTGCTGAAGATGGCGAACAGAAGACAGACAAGGCACAGCATGCGATGGCCTGATCTAGCTAGCCCACTCTTTCCGCCCACATATGCTGTCTCAAGGAGCCTATATTTCTTAATATTTTCTTGGTTAAATTAAAAACCACTGTGGCCCGGCACGGTAGACCACACCTGTAACCCCAGCACTCTGGAGGATTACATGAGTTTGAGACCCTGTCTAAAAATAAAACAAAAACAAAAACCCAAAATGGAAAAAGAGAAAAAAAAAGAACAACTTGAGTTGGGATTGGAGGTGTAGCTCAGTGGTACAACACTTGAGGAGCATGGATAAAGCCATAGGGCTCTGGGTTCTGGGTTCAATCCCTAGTACCACGGTGGCGGTTGTGCGTGTGTGTGTGTGTGTGTGTGTGTGTGTGTGTGTGTGTGTGTGATTGCTCGTGTTTGACACAGTCCCTCATACTTTCTGATACAAACACCTACTTGTGATGGTCCTGATCACTGCACCTACTGCGCCAGTCGGCGGGGGTCTGGTCAGGGTTCGCATCATCTGCGAAGCCTCACACCCGCCTGTGCACACCTGCACCTTGCCCACGTTCTCCCTGACCTCTGATCTGTCATCTACTTGAGCCTCCACCAGCGGCTGGGGGCAAGAAAGGAAGCCCATTCATAGCCAACCATATGCCGTTTTTATCTTTGAAATCAGAGGCCAAACGATACCTACGATTTTTTTTTAGCTGTGCTTCACGCCGTGACCACGCATAAATCCAAACTGGCTGCAGTTCTGGGAAAATCTTTTCTCTGTCTTCTTTGGTCAAGCAACCTCAGACCTTTTGGCCCGGGGGCCTCTTTCCTGAACGGTCTGGAGGGATCACGGCGTGAAATGCAGTTAGGAGAATTCCCTGTCACATGCCCGCTGTGTCACTTCACCCCCCAAACGGGTGCCTTGACTTTATGACCTTTCTCTCATGGGGTTTACTATCGTTCTTTTCAAGTGTTTCGGTATTACACTGACCCCTGCTCCAGATTTCCCACAAGGCTTGTCCTGGCTCCACAGTGAACACAGACAGGAGTGCAGCTCCCGCAGAGCCAGGTGCGGGAACCCTGTGTGATTTCTGCAGGGGCCTCTTTCCCCTGGGGAGCCAACATCGAGCACTGCACAGGCTGGGCCTGCCAGCCCGCAGGGCAGCTGCTGACTCACGCTGACTCCGGACACTGGGGCACAGTGGCCTGCCTGCCTCCCCGAGCACCCGCCACCGGCCAGCATCTGCCCCAAACCCACCTGGAAGACGTCGTTGGCACACTTGCGGCACAGGTTATGCTGGCAGGGCAGGATCACCACGGGCTTGGAGAACATCTCCAAGCAGATGGGGCAGATGAGCTGCTTCTCTAGGTTGTCCATGCTGTGCGCATCCCCTAGCAGCGGCTTGAAGCCCACGGTGAAGTTCATCCCTCAGCGCTTGTGCCTGGCCTCGCTGTGGCCCTCTCTCCGGCCTTGCCTGACTGCCTCCGGCCCTTCCTGGTCACCTTAGACGGTGTGGATGCTCAGGTTCCCTTCTGTGGCCCCCTCACGGTGGCGCTGCCCTAGTGGTTCCTGTCCCTGGTCCTGCTCGGCTTGACACTTCTGTCTCCGGTCCTTCCTGGGCACTCTCACCGGCACATGCGGCTCTAACGTGCCCTCCTGTGAACTTCTCCTTTTGTTCCCCAAACCACTATCTTGCTCACTCTGTGGGCAGCACTGTTTGTCCCTCACTCCCCAGAGAGGAGATTAATATTACTGTGGGGGTGGGGAGAGGGGCATGCGTGTGACATTCCAACTCCCAATTTAGCTCCTGTAAGGCGAGCTGCAGCTGTCACCCAGTGAGTGACCCTGACTCACGCACTCTGAGCAGGACCGGGGTGAGTGGCTGCTCAGGGTGGAAGGTGGACCAGCAAAGCTGTAGGGCTCTCCCTTGCTGTCACTCGAAGGTCCCATGAGCCCCAGACTAGGGCCCTTCCTCCAGACAGTGACAGTCCCTACACCACCCGCTATGCATTGCTCAGGGAGAAAGATCTGGCCAGAGACAGTGATGCTTTCTTCTTCTGCTGGCTTAGCCAGTGACCCTGACCTCGTCCCCAAGCCTGAGATTCAGGAGATAGGCAGCAGGACTAGAGAGACAGACTCTTCCTAGACCTACGGCCTGTCTGCCCTTGCCCAGCCCTTCTGTCATCTGAGGGAAAGTGGCGGCTGGGCCAGGTCTGGGACTGACGCCCCTAGAAAGTGTGCATTTCTAGTCCACAAACAAACATATTGCTGAAGCCACTCCGAGGTCTTTAATTTTTTTTGGAAATTGGGAGAAGCTGAGCTGGGCAGAAAGGATCTGAATGCCAGGGGTCTATTTTGGGCACCAGGGAGTCAGTCTCCAGAGAAATCTTAGAGCTCTGACAAAGTCACGGTCACCAGGCTCTGGAAAGCTTTAGCCCCAGCTCCACAGTTGTTGGACTCTCCTCTCGAGGTCAGGCTGGTCCCAGACGTGAGCCCTGGACTTTTGTCTGTTCCTCTTGTTGGTCTTTTCCTTCTACCCCAGGCACAATTTGTCTTTTCTGGGCCCAAGCCATGCACTGAAATAGCACAAAATCTGTTTTATTTACTGACATTCCTTGGCCTTTCTCCAGTGAGGGAAGAGAAGTTGGAGGCATCCCTACGCTCTGCTCCTGAGCGGATGAGAAATAAATGGCGTGGGCAGGATCCCAGCAGGCAGCATGAAGACGTGAGAGCGGGGAAGGGGTCTGCAGGGCACAGTCCTCCTCCTGTCACATTTCACGCCCCGGTTTTAAGGACACGCTGTACAGTGCTCAGCCTGGGTAGGTGTGGTCAGGATGGAGACCAGCGGACACTGATGCGTGGACTGTAGTCAGCCCACAGGACCAAGGCTAACATGGGAGGGTCCGGGTGGGGTGGCTATCACAAGACTTAAAGGCCTCATTTCCCAAATCGGCTCGTGGTGGAGTGGCACAGAAGAAGGTGAGACTGGCCTCGGAAAGGTGTACTGGTTTAGGAATGCAGCTGATGCCGGGAGTTCTTGGTACCCAGTGTTGTACCCAAGGAGGACTGACTGATGTAGAAGTTCCCAGAGGAGGATCTGCCTCCGCCATGACGACGATCTCGGTGGAGGCACTGCAGGTGACCCAGACACCTACCTGACATTGACTCAGATGCCAAGTCAGGCACAAGAAGAGGGACCCTTGGGAAAAGTACGCCATCACTGCCTGAGGTCTCAAACAGGCAGGGTTGGGAGTAACGCTCTCTGACAGCAGTTAAAATGGGACTCGAACTAGAGACGGCAGCTAGGAGACCGCGTAAGGCCCGGCTCGGGCAGGGATGGCGTCCTTCCTGGGATGGTCAGCATCAACACTTCTGAAGTAGGGATTCTTGTAAGAAGAGGAATCAGGTTAGAGTCAAGGTCAGGACAGGGCTGCGTGCTCCTCTCTTCAATGTGTTCAGTGAACTGGGCAGAAGAGGGCACCCTCACTGGCCAGCACCTAATGGCAGAAGTTGGTAACTAGAAGAAAAAATCGCCTAGGATTTAGGGCAAGTCCCCTCTCTATAAGGATATAAACCTCTGGATTCCCCTCTATGAGGATGTAAACTTTCCACTAATGACCCATCTTCTTAGACTTCTCTTTATTAGTAGTAGTATTATTATTAGAGGTAGTAAGGATTGAACCCAAGGTATTCTTACTGGGCTACATCCCCAGCCCTTTTTTATTTTTTATTTTGAGACAGGGTCTCACTAAGTCACTAAGTTGCCCAGGCTGGGTTCAAACTCGCGATCCTCCTGCCTCGCAGCACTGGGACTTACAGGGCTGTCCCACCAAGCCTGGCTTTACTCTTCGCTTACTGCTGCCTTTCAGTTTACATACCTCACTGTTCTCCCTACTGTTATTAACGATCGTCACTGTCTTCATCTGTTCCAAAATGATGTTCTTTCCCTGTGACAGAATTTGACATATGTTTACACATATAAGTGTTTAATAAGGTTTTGTTTGTTTGTTTTGGTCTACAGGTGAGAAATCTGTTACCTTGCAGCTGCTCTGTGAGCATTATAAGGTGGCACTGGTGTGAACTTCCACTGACTCTCCCTCCATTTTCAAATTTTAACTATTTGGGACGAGAATAATCTCTGAGCCTATCTTCCTTTTTTTTTCCTCTCTTTCTTTCCATTTTTTTTTTTTTTTTTTTTTTTTTTG